TGGCTTCTATTCCTTCTCTTTTTTTCTATCTGCTTCCTCTTCCCATCTTCTTCCTCCTACTCCTACTCCTCCTCATTTTCCTCCTATCCTCTCCCTCCCCATTTTCCTCCACTCCTTCACCTTCCTCCTCCTTTTTCCCCTACCCCTCTCCTCCATATCTTCCTCCCACTCCTCTCCACATCTTCCTCTCCCGCCTCCCCCATTTCCCTCTCCTTTCTCCACTCCTCATCTCCTACCCTCTTTCCCCCTTCCCTCCTCTCTTCCCTACTATCCCCTCTACTTCGATAACATTTCTCTTATCATTTATCTCTTACCGGAAAATCCACAGATAAGAGCAGTTTTCGAACCCCTTCACCTGGTAACGGGGAAGAAGTAGTCATTTGGCAGTTTGGCTGTAAGATGAATTGACTGATTGGCAGATGGATAAAGGTATGTGCAGGTGGAGGGATTAACAGATAGGCAGATAAATGGGTACGCATACACATACACACACATACACACGAACATACAAACACACACACACACACACTCATACAAACAGACATACATACACATATACAAATACACACACACACATACACGCACATACAAACATGCACATGCACACACACAAACAGACACACACGCACCCATCAGCAGGGTCCCTGATCGAAAAAGTACCACAGTTTAGCCTAACGTCAGTCCCCCTAAACATCCCTAATATGAAACCAAGGAAACCGAAAGAAAACATTTCGATCGCAGCAGCTGGTCAGGTCAAGACCGCCAAAGAGTGGAGTGCCAGAGAATAAGTGCCACGGCGTCAGAGTGAGTGCCGCGGCATTAACGATGGTGTGCTTGAGATTTCGTGTAACACACACACAATACATTTACAAATACACGCACACACACACAAACACACAACACGCACACACACACACATACCACACACACACACAAGCATACACACACACATATATATATATGTTTATTTAATTTATTGCAATAGATAAATTTAAGTTGTGTTTGAGTAGTAATTGTTATCTCGAGGTAATGTTATCATACCATTTGATTAATTACATCTGGTCACTGAGGTGATTGTGTGTGCTAGTAAGTGAGTGAGTGTCACTGAGTGAGTGTTATGAGTAAATAAATGTGAGAGAGTAGGTGAATGAGTCAGTTAGTGAGCGAAGGAGTGAAGGTGTAAGTATGTGTGACTGAATGAATGTGAATGACCAAGTAAGTAAGCGAGTAAGTGAGGGAATGAGAGAAAGATTTGGTGAATGAGTGTGTGAAAGCTCGTGAGTGAATGAAAAAGTGTGAATATGAGTGAATAAAAGAGTGAATCAAAGAGTGCGTGAAAGTGCACGAACAATAGCGAGAGCGCGTGAGTGAACGAGCGAGAGAGTGAGCGAGTGCATAAGTGAATGAATGAATGAGTGAGTGAGTGTGAGACCAGGGACGCAATTTAGACCAATGAAAAACGCATTCGACGCCCTCCTCAGCCCGCCCGCGCGACTGCAGGATGCGGGAGGGGAAGTCCAGGAGGAG